ATCTGGTGAGATCGACCAACGAATCTCTTCTTCATTCACTTTCATAAGAACTGAAAGTCCCCCTAACAATATTACCTCAAGAGATTCATCGGAGCTCAGTTTCTTTTCATATCTACATTATTTAATTTACTACATTGTCCTATTTGCCTTATTCTACTCTATCTAGGTGCGTCTTTTATTAGGATATTAAAGTAAACATATAATATGCTCTCCTGTGTGGCCTACTCCTTCATTGTAATTAGACTATCTTATAATATATAACTAAGATTAGATGTTTTTTCGTTGACAGACTAATGGTACCTTTTTAAACTAAATCCTTCTTATATTTGTCTCATCTACTCTTCTCATTTTTCATATATATTAAATTTGTATGGCATCCTAACATTTCATTGATCGTAAAATACATTAGTCTTGATTATATTGGGTTAAGGCTTTCTGCAAATTTGGCCTACATCTAGCTAGTCGTATGATCATACCAACCAACGTCTTTTCTATATTTTGATACCATTTGAGGGTGCCGTGTATTTTTAATTCATATCAAATAGGTTTTAGTTATAAGAGTGTTCCTAGTTTGTGCTAATTTTTTCTGTGTTCTAACTCATACAAGTGAATGGTTGCTAGGTTAAAAAATGTCTTTCTTTAAGGTTCCACTAGCTATGGACTATATGCTAGGTCCATTCATTTATCATGCTTGTATTAATTTAGGCTATTTCTCGAGTATTTTTTCCAGAACTTTAATTTAGATATAATTATCAATTCTTAGAATTCAACATTTCCCCTGTTGATATTTCCACCTGTTTCTCTTTTCAGGCTGTGGCACTAACATACCAGATTCAGCAACCCACTACACTAGCGGAGAAAATGTCGTTTATCCTATCGGCAAGCCTATTGTTTCATCATCAAATTCGAATCTTTTTTATAATGAGTATATCGTCTACAACACTTCCCAGATTAAACAAAAATATCTTATTCGCTTTCGTTCCAAGTTTAATCACTAGACTTCTAAATTGAAAGTGATCACAAATTTTTCATTATGAGTTGACTTCCTATCTCTGACATTTTCCATCTGGTTTTTATTCTTCTACTATAAATAAATGTATTAAATTCGCCTATTTTTTTTATATATTTGTGTCTATTTGTGCAGGTTATCATTGTTCTTATACTTAATGTATGAAAATAATCTCATCTTCATAAGTCCTCTAACGGCCAAAACGAATCATTAGTTTAGTTTAAAACACCAGGTGCGACTTGTGATTGCATTTGTGTCCAATGACTGACAACACTGCAGCAACTTTATCTTTGGTTATTCGAACTTATTTGGAAATCTATGTTGATCTAATCCTTAATTTCGAAAACGCATTTTCTGTAGCAGTAAACTAATTTTTATCAGACAGACTAAAGGCTTCAACTGTACGTTTGAGAAAACTCTCGAAACCCAAACAGCTGTAACTATTTGTTCCATCTTCTCTTATATTACACAAGTGGTATCAGAGGCGAAAACTAGTCATGTTTTTACCTGAGACTGAGGACGTTCTGAGAAAAGGGTCAGAATAGGCATCTCAGGAAAATATAGTTATATGAATTGTACTCACCCTATTTCATTTAAGCTGATGAAAGACTGGTAGTTGAATTTTCATACAATGATGAGTAAACTAATTCCTCCATTTTACTTCACATTGCTATGCTATCCCAAAAGATGTTCTTATCGAGCTTAGACTGCAATTTCGACCTCACCTATTTCTTATCAAAACTCTCGTCATCTCAGAAAAATCAACTTGGTGATGATAACAGGCCGATTTAAACTGTAACTGAATGAGTGCATTATCCTTTATATTGATTTTGTGTTCATAATCGCTTAGCCTCAGTCCCAATGATAGGTTTATCAGAGGAAAGCTAGTCTAGCACTAGGTAATATCGGCAACAGATGTAGTGAGTTTGCTCGTGTACCTCATTCACTTTATGTTAGGCTTGGAAGGCTGGAAATAAAAGCACAACTGATGTAAAACGTTAACTGGTCCTGTACTTACTCATAAAACAATTAGGATAAATACCAATATACGCCGGCCTAATTAGTTAATTGCTCATTTACCAGTCATGGCCTTGAGTCATACTCCCTACAGCATCTCATCCTACAACTTCTATGAATTGTAGTTGAGATATCGCCTAGTTCTCGTCAGCAACGGATCATAACCCGGTTAGCGCAGTGTATCTATTCGATACGTTAGCCACCAATCTCAATAGGTCCAAGAATAGACGTGAATTTTATAAGAGGCCAGGGCATTCCAATATCACAATGGGATTGTCAACAAAGCAAACGGTTACTATCGTATGCATTACCTGTATACAAATTTAGTAGGCTCCGAAACTACCGGTAGACCTTGCATAAGAGTTGTGCCCAACCTAAGGCAC